TTACGCATTATGAATAGCGTGTGGCTTCATACCGCGATCGGCTTTACTCATACTTTACATGATATTATATATTAGTATACATATATACACACATCAATATTATATATATTTATTACTAATCGTATTTAGTGCGGGGTTTCCTCCGGTCGATCGAAGAGATACAGACAGTAAATAGAAACGTATATATTTGTTCTCGTCGCTGTTGAATCGCCGTAATGTTTTCTTTATCCTTGACGGCAGTGAAGCCACGATTAGTCGGAGAAAGCGTAATATATATGCCCCACCCAACGAAAATGACCGAACGTGGACATCCTGATCGCTAGATAGGGACACATAATTATTATCAGGGAGCACTATAACAGCTCTGGAATAGTTACAGAATAAATGATAAACGCACTTATTACTCCTGCAATTAGTATAGGAAGCCAGAAAAGAGCTGCCGGCCAGGATGTCTGCTGATTAATTAATTACGCATCCTCATTAAGGATTCATGCCGCAGGTAACTGTTTCTTCCTCTCCCGACAGATTACCACGTGTATCACATGCGTGTCTTCTTCTTTTTACACGTCTTCTTTTCTTTACACCCCCATGCTCTTTCTGTTTACACATCTTTCTTCGCGTTACACGCCTTTCTTCTCTTTACTCTACACGTCATCACAAGCACAGCAGGTCGTCATTAAAAAGGTCAGGAAGCCTACGACTATGAACAAGTATCTGCGACGCACGTAAGACTATCGGTGCGATATTGCTCGATCTAGCCGTTGCTGGTAGCCAACAGGAAGAAGGCTAATCAATACTCTATAACTAGTTAATAATCATAATTATATATTTAGATATTATATATTATTCTCTTATATCATAAATAATGTCAGAAATGAATAATAATAGATAATATAGTATCTTATTATTCGCTGATTTGATAATGTTATATATTTCAATGTCGTCAAATTCGAAGTCGTTGGGAATATCGTCAATTTTGCGTCTGCGAATCGCTGATATGAGTTTTTTCTACGGATGCTGATTTTTTAGTCAAACTATATTCGTATCGCATGTGAATAAGATGTTTGGGTAAACATATACTAGCTCCGCACGCAAACCTGCGCGCATACAGCTCACGCACGCAGGCATGCACGCACACTCGCACTCGACGCGCGCTGCACACGCGCATGCCACGTATACCACACATGTACTCTCGCCACATAGCCGCACGGCACGCATCAGACTGCAACACTACGTTCACGCTCACGCATTCTTACACGCACCGCTCGCGCACTACGCCGCACGCATACATAAACACAAAAAACTATACATAACGCATTAGATCATAACGCATAAATCGTCATCATCTTTATGCCACCTTCTTTTAGCCTAAATGCAGGAGATCCTTGTTATATTTCATGTACAGATGAAATCGCCGTAATAGCGACGGGACACACTCACCTGGATTTTCTACTACTTTGTCCTCTTATGCCTTGTAATCATCGCCATCGTCCAGCCTAGGATTAGCCCTTCATCTTGCCCTCTATTTTGATCGGAAGCTCGATCTAACCGACAAGTACATATGCATCTGCGAATAGATATTATATCTAGCCAGCTTTTATTAATAACGCTTGATTATTATAAGCTCTTGATATATAACCTTATATAATATATATATAATTATATTTGGCTTCTTCATGAATACCCATGCAATATTATTATTATCTATATATAGCTAAACAGTAGCAATATTCGTGGCCTAATTTCTCGGGGATCATCAGTAACATGTCCGCCGATATGTTGAGACCCAGTTTGTCTACCATGTATGTATTATTACGATTTATTGAGAGGTAAGCATTTAACAGCATAAAATCTTGCGCGCAAAAGTGGTCTCTAGATTCGAGGACAGCTGCATTTGCGGCATTCGCGCGTAATGCTTTTACTATAAAACACATAATTTATACACAAACACCTGTTTGTACAATATCTATCTACGCAGTGTGCGATTCATACGCCTGCACGCTGTGCTGACGCTGTATGAAATGACGCTGATGCTGACGCTGGATACGCTGAACGCTGTTGGTGGTTTTGCAGACTAACCACTGGCGACTTGGACGTGTGGAACAGCCCATCGCGATCATCGGCCATCGTTGCCGTCACCCCGTTCTGCAGATCAATCACTTCAGTCGCTTCGGCGCAGAGAGCGCCGGCCATTAGGACCTCACGTTACATACCACCGCGCTATCAGGCGCACCAGTTTTGACGAGCGCCATGGTTATATTATCAAGAGCTAATAATATAAAAAATACCTAATAATACGTATTATTCAAGCTCTTGATATATCCTCTTCTATGGTCCCCATGGATTCTAGCTGTAGAGGCGCTGTAGCTTAGAAGAGCTTGCTAAGCAACCCACGGTGAGATATAGGCCTACTATTCTCCTATATGTCTACGGGGACCGGGGGGGGGGCCCACGTCAACCGCGACGAAATTGGTGACTTATTGCGTACGTATTCGATATG